GACCTTGAACAATCTGAGAGACGGCTGGTCGAGGCCACTTCCTTCCACGAGGTGGGCGGAGAAGTCCTTGTCCGGCATCGCCCTCCTGACGAGCCGCAGCTCGGACTACAGTATCAAGTAAGAAAAGCATCATCGCACGATGGCAGAAGTCAAGAGCGACACCAAGCGATCACTGAGCATGGATACGCGGCACAAACACCCCCAAATGGCTGTATGTCATGGGAGTGAGCCTGAGTGTTGAGTTTTACAACAACAGCGCACGGAGATGGGGTACCGATAGCGGAGCGAAAGGTAAGCTTCTCGGGAACTGGACAACCCTCACCTTGACCACAGGTGCGATGTCTGCGGTGTTTTGTGCGCCTTTGTTCGTCGCGGTAGCGGTGGCGGTGCACGCGGCATCTTGCTCCAGGGGGCTGAAAACCTCCATCGGCTCTTCGGGCAGCTCCGGTGCAGCGTCCGTTCCAGCCGCGTCTGCGCCGCCCCCATCGCCGTCACCTGAATCGGCTGCAGTGGTAGCGTTGGCGGGGACAGGAGGGGATGCATCTTGCTTACATTCGGTGGAGGCTTTCCTTGTGTTCGGGCTTGTCCCCCTCAATAGGACAATATGTCCATCTAGCAAGCCGCTTGGTTGCTGAAAGTCGCTTGCTCTGTTTGCTAAGGTAGCGCTATGATACAGCACTATTGTGGCTGACAAGGATCGTTTCACCGTTCTGCCTCTTCGAGACATTGAGAGGGCGACTGGTAGTCACAAACACCAAACGGCAAGGAGGTAGAAGGATAGAGAAGGCCTTACGGCAGCGCCAGTTGGGTTTGAGTATTTTGAGGTGGAACTACGTTGGCCGTCTTGGCGGTCAAGCGTCGACAGTTTCAAGGACCAGATCGACTTGTGCTGGAATCAATGAACTTTCCACTGGGTTTTTCCAAGGCGAGACGTTTTTGACCAGGAGGGGGTTAGAGGCGTGATTGACTCTCCACCCAAAGCGAGGCACACTCCCAATACTCAGAAAAAAAACAAAAGCAAGATTGGCACGCGGTTGGAGCGATGGGCGTGCGTATGGTGGCCGTTGCCTTCACGGCGAAGAAGATGACGCGGATACAACAAGCAAGCAATGCTTCGTTGCTGCATTGGGCCAAAAAAGGAGACAACGTAGCAGCGTAGTCCAAACAAGAGAGAAAACGTAATTCAAAAAGAACCCCACAACTACCCATCTATTTTTCTCTGCGCCGTCCTCTTGTCCATCGCTCTCGAAACAGCCTTCCAGTACATTGCGTACAGAATCCAGAAAACGAAAATTAATCAGCCACGTACCATGCGATGGACGACCATGATACCCGTTGGCGTTGCTGCGGGAACCGTCTGTGCTCTGATGATTCCCCACGTCCCCAATAGTCTTGGAGGGAATGGTTGTGGATGTAGTGACCTTGGCGGCGGCATCAGCGGCGGCGGTGGCGGGTGTTGGTTCGTCCGTTGAAGCTGTGTCATCAGAGCCATCGAAAGGATCGGCCACGTTGGTGTCGATAGCAGAAGGTGCGGGATCGGAGCGGGAGAGGGTGGTAGTGCTCTCGTCCTCGGTACTGTTTGGCGCTGTTGCAGGGACAAGCGGCCCCGTCGGAACAATCGCAGGATAGGCGGCGGGGTCGGCGGCGGTGAGAGGCGCGGGTGAACCAGAGAAATTGTCTCTGGGGTTGGTGATCCCTTCATCAGCGTTGGTGGTGGAGGTGGTGATTGCCGTGGTCAAGCCCAGGTCGGCTCCGTTCATCCCCTCCGTTCGCTCAGCAACCACGGGGATCGTGGCAGAGATCGGAGCGTCGGTTGTGCCGTAGGCGTCGGCGTCAGCTACAATGGCAGCGGTGGTGGTGGGGACATTAGCAGCGGCCGTGCCGATCGCCGATTCTTCCGTTCCTGAAGGCACCTGAGGGAGCGTGGGAGAAATCGAAACGTCAGCCGTGTCTTTGGTGTTGATTTCGGAGAACTTGCTGATCTCGGATACGACGTCAGCTTCAATTGTTTCCTGTTCATGTATGCCGACACGGTGGACGAAGGAGACGAGTGGAATGGTAAAAACATTGGTAGGTTGAGGAATACGGTGAACAGCCGTTGTCGGGGCCAGAGAATGGGACCTTTTCTGCGAGGAAACAACGCCCGTCTGGTTGCCCCCCCCCCCCCCCNTGGTTGCCCCCCCCCCCCGGTCCTACAAGAATATTCCACGTAAGTCTATATTCGTGTCGTCGTGCACGCAGTGTGCCTTCTCGCAAAACCGGTCAAGTGCGGATTCGTTGGATTGCATCCCGGGGATGTCAATGCCGAACTGCGTTGTTCGTAAAAACAAACTCGCCTCGGTGTTGCTTACCATGTCGACGGCGTCACTGCTTACTGTAACCTGGTCTACAGTACCAGGTATGTATATGGCTAAGCTCATTGTGGTCGGTCAGGTGTGCTAGGAGGTGGACTCGTACAAATCCTTGTGCGCCCGCCCACAGCTGAGGGCATCACCATAATCAACCACAACAAGGGGCTGAGCCTCGTGGAAGAGGACAACAGTTTTTCGTGACACCTTCATGGCCAGCAACAACGAGTCAAGTATTTATTTTGCAGAGACGACACCGTTTGGTATTGAGACCCCCTGTGGGCAATCCACCACACAGGTGGGTGTGGTCATTCACGTCTACCACACCGTCGCGTTGACTCCCGCTACCTATTGCCCTCCTGGAAGTGCAGGTGAACGGCGGAGGACGGCCGCTGCAGTCAACGGCCGGAGGAGGACTGGCCGCTTGACTGAAGCTGAACATCAGTTTCTGGAAATAATCACCAAACGGCTCACAAGTTTGTCCGCATGAAAAGTGCCAGCTAGCACAACACTCACCATGTCGTTGGTGCTGGAGTTGCGGTCGTCGTCATTGATGTTGTTGATGTCGTTGTTCATGTCGTTGATGTTGTTGTTGCCGTTCGCTGACCCCAGGATGAGAGCCCCGAGAAGCACCAACAGCAACCAGCTGTTGGTCTTCACGATGCGCGTGAGCCTCATACTTGAGAACTGAGGTTACATACGCAGGTAGGGGACACATCCAGTCAGTGTGTGGAATGAGCTTGACGACGATAGAAACGATACGGCCGCCGTACTACAGTAGAACAGAAAAAAATGTAGCACTCTAGACTTCGCAAAAAAAACGTCCAGTTGACGAAATCGTGTTTCTATTTGCTTGGTTTGGTTACACGACGAGTGCGTGGAGAGATTCGGACGGCCGTTTCACATTTTTTTTTGTGGCGGCAACAACCAACTTTGCCATGACGACGGAATCTTGGCACCTCACAAGCAGCAGGGTAGGTACATACAGATTTAGGTACCCCGCCGCGCTGTTCGAAAGGGGTGCTTGTCCATGATGAAACAACGAGCTACACGTCTTAAAAATCAAACGGCTATCAACGAAGCGGAAATGGGCTGATCAAAGCGGCTCTTGGGTGATGCGGGCAAACTCCAGCCGTATCCAAACGCGGTGCAAGCTGTGCACCGGAATCTGTGTCGAAAGAAATGGCACTTCTTTCTCTGGCTTCTGGCTGGGATGCATGTGTCGTCCTGGATCTAACCCGTGGATTTCGGTTGCTTGTGGGGATTCGAGGTACGTGGATGTTTGCGCTGCTCTCTCGCTCCTCGCGGGTGGCCAAGCAGAGGAGGGCCGAGACCACAACTACTGCTGTAACTCCCTCTCTCCCCAGTCTCCTCAACGCACGGCACACACCCCAACAACGCGCGGCGCAACCCAGCAATGCCACCACACCAAGCCCAAAACGTGGGCGGGCCGATGTGACTCCCGGGATCCACCCCTGTTCTGGGCACGGGAAAGCGCACTTGTTTTCAATCCCCAAGACCAAACCATTGCCGGCCGGCCACAAATACGCGTTGCTGTGGCCCGCTGGCGGGTGGACGCCTGGGTAGACCATGGCGAAAGCGTGGTTCACATCCCGCCGCAACACACATTGGACGCGCGGCACCATGGAGGCGAGCTCACGGGCACTAGGCACCAAGCTTGACGCAAGAACCTTTTCTCTCTCTCACCTGCTGAAGTGTAGAAGCGGGTGATGCTATCTGAGCTCTTGTTCCGGTGAAGGTTGTGCGCAGCAGTCGTGAGTGATGTCCGGTGATGAAGAATCAAGATTTTTTCTCTTTTTTTTTTTTTTCATTCTATCGGGAGGGGATGTCCCAAGGACGCAAACGCCTCCGAATATTCCCTGACAGGGCAAACCGACATCATTCAGACGATTCGCTGCCGGTGTACTGAATAATGCTCTAGTTAGTGTGTTTGCATCGCGCGATACTGCAACAGCAGAGTAGGGAGCTTGTGCCACACACTGCTGTACGTCGTGGATGTAAAACCGTTCCGATCTTTCCTCCCACCCAGTAAATTCATCTGCCCACACTAATCGAAAGCTTGATGAGGTCGATTCCCGTGGCCACAAGCTCACTTATCTTTAACAAACGCACACTTATACTCCATGGTTTAAAAAATAAAACAACAGCCGCGCGCAATTGAAGAAGACGACACATGAGTCGAAGACGAATGAACTCCTTTCCACGTCAAGGGACCTCTAGTGACTGGGGGGGGGAGAAGGAAGGAGTGGCGTTGCGTTTTCTTTCGTTAGCATCGACCGCGCTGATATTGATTTTCGTGGGGTGTCCAAAGCCGTGAAGCTATGAAAATCATTGAGGAGGATTACATAGGTTCCTTGGAGGGGAGTTATATTTCGGCCCACAAGCACGTCGCCTAGTGCACGGGGACGGGGCGTGGAATCACCCAAGGGGATGTCCCTGGTCGGGGATGATACCCCCCCGTGCCTTGCAAAGCATGCTCCACTTGCCGTCGGTGTGGTTAGAGTCATAGAGCCGTGCCCACCTTCAACGTGCTCTCCAAACTAATACACAGTGAGGTTTGGCCGGTCCTAGTTGAGCGGCAGTCAAGTCATGGATATTGTATGAGATCTTTGATAAATCGATAAATAATTTCTCTGAGCATCACGCGTCAACCCACTGTGTGCGAGTGGGTGCGTCTTCACGAACACCTTAATTGATACTGCTGCCCCGAATCTGTTGTTCCTGCACTCAGACCTTCCCAGACGACTGCTGCCTGCAGCCGCAACCCACCTTACCCTACGCTCTCGTCTTCTAGTAGCTCCGATCGGGGCTCACACAAAGGAACTCTGGTCCAGTCTACAAAAGTACCGCGCCACCGGTAAGCACATGTTGGCACCCTTGGGTACCCCCGGGATATGCGGACACTATTACAGTCACGGACCCCCTCATCGCCAAAAAATAGCACCCGAAGCCCCACTGGGTAGCTCGAGCCTCAAACACATTTGTACAAAGGACAACGACATAAGGCTGTGTATAATACAATGCAACGACACACAAACTGCAGTGATTCACGAGATAACAAAGTTCAGACATCGCCGCGACGACCAACAGCTACACCCACAAGTGGAACATACCAAACGTGGGATCGTGTTTCTCTCTCCCTCCAACTTGACTTGACGACGGGAGCTTGTAAGAGCGCGACATCGAATCAAGAACGAGGCGTTTCTGCGTTCACCTGTTCGCACATGGAAAAGCGTGCATCCGACTAAGATAGGCCGACCTTAACGCCGATGTCCCATTCCCTACCAGGCAGGAAGTTAACCCGGCACTTCACCGAGGTACACTCTTCTTTCTACCACCATCAACAAAAACTGCGGTTTATCGCGCAGCACCAAGTACCGCGACACCCACCTCGCCAAGCAAAATCACTTGTCGCGACAACCATTTCTATCGCGCCCTTTTTCCTGGCGAAAAAAAGGAGGCTCATGGAACGACACCGTCACTATCCGTCGGCGACACATCACGCCTCGCCCAAAAGAGAACAAGAGCCTCGCTACGGTGCTGGCCTCAACGTCTGAACCCCTCTTCAACCAACCCAGCAAACGAATTCCCCTCGCCATACACACCCGCATCGACCTCCCCCACCACACTAGATCTCCGCGGTGCCCCCTCTTCTCGGCGGGAAGCCCCCGCCGGAACCACCGCCGTGGCAGCCTCGTGCCACTCCCTCAGCGCCAGCGTGAACCGCACCCTTCCGAGCGAAGACCCCGCGCTCCAGACGTACTCCTGCGCGACGCAGTCCACCGCGCCGCAGTACACGAACGGCCGCCCCTTGACCCTGGCGAACAGGACCAGGTGTGGCGGGTGTTGCTGCTGCTCCTGGTCCGCGCCCTCGCCCCCGGCACCTACGCCAGCTGCGGGGCCCGCTCCCCCCCTTTGTGGTGCTTCCATGAAGGCGGGGGGGTCGTCTTCCGGAAGGCCCCCCAGCATCGACGAAGGCGTCCCCGACGCGTCTGCAAGCCTCTGCAGAAACTTCCCGATCGCGTCGCCGCCGCCCCCCCCGCCGTCGGCGGCGTCCCCTGTCCCCGTTGAAGAGGGTGCCCCCCTGCCGGTGAAAATCTCGGCCACCTCCCTGCCCCCGGATGGTGGTGTCACTATTGCCGTCGTCCCTTGTCGCTCCTGGCGCAGAGAGTCCTGCTGCTGCCGCTGGTACTCCGCGGCCTCGTTGTCGACGAAGGCAGCGTCAGAGGACAGCTTTCCCTCCAGGTACCACGCCGCCATCGTGCCACTCTCGTTCAGGAAGCCGCTGCACGAACCAATGAAAGGGAGAAGCAGCGTTGAAGAGTGGGTCATGCAGGCCAGGGTAACGACATACGCTCTTTGTTCTCGACCACGAGAGCCTTGGCACGAATCAAAACACAGCAACGCGCAAATTTGCATGGTTTCGAACACCGAGGTTGCCCTTGCGACTCGGTGCACGTGATGACAGCAACAGCGAGCCACACGGACACGTGGATAGACGGTGCCTTCTGGTTAACAACACGCGCCGCAGCACGGCAGTGTACGCATCACTCTCGTAGCTGGATACGTGACACGCCAGGCGTGGGCATCTGTGTGTCTATACTACATCGGGCTACTGTCGTAGCTACCGCAAAACACTTTTCACTCCGCATTAACATCAGGTACCGCACCTTGCATGCTCGCGGTCTATTGACCCGCCGCAATTCATGAGGAGGGCGTAACCGTTGCCGAATTCGACGAAGCTCTGGTGCCGGTCGAAGCGCAGGACGGTCGGCAGCTCGCCGCTGGTGGGCATCTCGCCCCGTGGAAAGATGCACGCCCTGCCAAAGTCGTTGTCGGTGTGGGTGTTGCTGTGGGTACTGTGTCAGTGTGTCGTTGCTGACCTTGACACAACAGTGTTTCGGACATGTTGTGACAGCTGTGCTTCGGATTTCGAAGTGGTACAGTACCAGTCATTTTTGGCTCATCGTAGTCATGTACATGTATTGTAATTCGTGCGAAAACAACGTCAGCATGGTGCATGTCAGGCGGGGGTTCCATGACTGTTTTTTCCGTCGCAACAAAGCCTAACCCCGATTGAAGTCTGTCTGTCTGTCTGTCTGTCTGTCTGTCTTCATGAGCAACGAGTGGACACGGAGAAACACGCAGCGCGACACATACCACACATGAAAAAAGACGACAAAACTATCTACACAACATCTGGGGACGCATGACCAACTTCAAGAAACAAAAGCAACACCGACATTGATGGTGCATACACTCGCGCGCGCGCACCCCTCCCTTCCCCGGGCTCTTCTGTGTTTCGAACCGACACGCTTTACCATTGACCGGTTGGTGCGCGTCGCCTTTCACGCGCCTCATGTCTACAAGTTCCCGTTCCGACAAGAAACTAGTGCACCGCGGTGGGCCTGGTTTTGCGACCCCTCCGTACTCTATAGAATTAGTTTTGGAAGGTAGGTCGCCATTGCCGGAATACACATCGAGGTGCCACGCGACTTGGTGGTCGATGTGCAGGGCATGCTCGTATGACTGGGGGCCGCTGAACCAGCCCCACCACTGAATACATCCATCCATTTCGCGAGTCGCTGTCTGCCTCCCCCCGCCCGTGTTGCGCTTGGTGATGTGAGAGCCTGGTCCCCCCCGCCCCCGGTGTTTGCCATCGGGGTTGGGTTTTCGTCGCTTGGTAACGACGTTATAAAACAAGCCCCTCTTCGGTGTTTGCCATCGGATTGGGTTTTCGTCGCTTGGCAACGACGTTGTA